AATAACACAAGCGATTTATACAATAAAATATTTACTTTTAATAAAATAATGAAGCTAAACTAAATAAAAAAAAAGTTGTAGAGTATCATAAGAATCACATATAAAAATTCATAAAAATGTGCACCCATTTGTGACAACTAAAAAATTAATTGTAACAATTTACTTCGTATAACAACTTGCCCCGGTATCCTCTATCTTATTACAAATCAAAGTGTTATACGCAAAATTCTGAACATATTAGGCAAACTCCAGCACATATGCCGCACTAGGATTTACGCAACAAAAAAATATATTTTGGATTTCTAATATTTTTTTTTCATAGTAGTAGACAGTACAAAGTTTTTATTGATATAGTTTATTTTAAACATAGTAAATAGTACTTGATAAATTCAGTTTTCGATAAGTGTGACGTACATATATTGAGTGCGGCGTATATACCGGAGTTACCCTATAAATGTCTAAAAATGAATATTATGTAGGTAAGTAATTGTATCAGTAATGTAAAATTCTTTATTATATACGAAAAGAACAATTTTATTGAAATATAAAAATTTAGCTATAACATATATAGATACAGATTTGAAAATAATTTTCTTCAAATCATCAAAATAATTATATAAAATGAGAGAGTAACTAGCTAAAATATTGTTTCACAGATTACATGATTTTATCTGATTTTTTATACGATTTCATCTGATTACAAATAATTTTTTTTACATACGAAGTATATTTGATAAAATAAATGATTTTATCTAATGTAACACCATGATTTCTCGTGATTGTGTATGTAATTGAATGTTATTGAATTACACATAAAGATTTCATATAAATGTTACAATGATTTTGGGGACATTGTACCCTACGGTTACATTAAATGATCATCGCCTCAATATAGAAAGCTCAAACTAGTTTCTACAATGATACCTCTCTTTTGCAGCATTGTCATCAATATTCTACATAATTATTATATATGTATATATATATGTTTATGTATATGTGTGTGTGCGTG